TAATATTCCACAATATTACTGATTATTGTATTTTTGATTAAATAAATGCAGCCTTGGAAAGCACAAGACTTCTTCCAAAAGCATAACAAAATCTGACCAACCCCAAACTTTTGAACAGTAGGTTAAAGTTTAATGTATACAGTGACAGTTTAACATATAATCTTGATAATGAGTCCATGGACACATTTTACATTAACTATACTGATAATGAATCGTGGTAGTTACATGGTACTGTATCCAAAATGCGTGGTAGTGCTTTAAAAATAAAAAGGAATATACTTGTAACAGAAATTTTATTCAGATGTATTAACAAGCGAGTATTATCAATCTGCTTCTGAGAAGGAGATTGGCATGTTTCCAATTACCCATCTATTTTAGCAGAAATTACTCATTTTTCATTTTATAGTTTGTATGATTTTGCTGCAATAGATTATTTTCCCCGAAACACACTGTTTCTGAAGGCAGTACCGACTTCTGTTGACGCTCTGTCCGTAGCTACCGGCTTTATCTTTCAGAGCAGCGTATCATGTTCATATGACTTATCTAATTGAGGGGGAGGGGGGGGGGGTCCTTATGGGGAGCTGTGGTGCATTGATTTATCAGTCTGAAAGGCAATTATCATCTTGCTTCATTTCCCTCTGCTTTTCAAGGCAGAAATCAGCTAATGACCGTGTTTTATCACACAGGGCTTCAATGTATATTCATTTCATGGAAGAGATTTTTATCCTCACCCATGTCTCGCTATGCATTATGTAAGCGGTGGTCTGTCTTATTAAAATGATGATATCTCTGTATGAAAGCCTACTATTTTTTTTCCCTCATATCCAGCATTAAGACTTTGTGGTATGGAGGCAAATTTACTGATGAATTGGGTTACACTGGCCCTTCAATGAATACTATTTCTATTATATAATATACTCTAATTTTCTGGGTGAAATCATGCACTAATGATATTGCATGTGGCAGCTTGGTCATTAATTAAACACATCCACCAACATGACGACCGGCAGACATTGATCCATGGCCATATTGATGTGTGCGTCAGAAATGCAAGCTCTGTAAATTGCCTTTTGTTATTGCTGGCTAGAATGACATGATCTGAGCCAGTTATTTGCGACAATGTCTACTCAGCTATATAATGATTTATAGCAAGATTGTCACATCTTTGTGCACCAATTAGTGATAGCAATAACTTCACTACAGCTTTGCAATGTGTAGCAATTACTAGTGCTTCAAACCTGCTGTCTTTTATCAAAGGGCAACTCCGCTAAGAATAATACTAATGTTTATGGAAAAACTTGTGCTCTAACAATGCTTCTCTCACCTAATATACCTAATGCATTATTCAACATCAGCTCAGTTAACACTGCACAAGCATAAAATATTCACTAAACAATTTTGAGCTACCGGAAAAGACACCCTATAGTTTATCTGTCATGTTTTTTTTTTTTTATCTTCATGATGTACAGTGTTCACTGTACATTTAATTCCTACAGTATATGTGACAAACTACTGTATTTCATTTGGCTAGACTGACAGCAGACTTTGTTGCAGATATGGTAGACAGCAGACTTAGTTTGGTGCAACGTTGAAAGCAACGAACTCATGGCAGAGTTGAATCCTAATTAACTAAGGTATGCTGGTACTTGAGTCTTCACCTCTCCCGAGCCTCACTCTTACATGTTTCGATGCCGTCTCCTCTTACTTTGAAGAGCCCGTAACCCAGCTCTGTCTCGTCTGCTCTTGTCAGAATGAGTGCGGTGCTCTGCTGACAGGTAATAGGAAAGCTCTTCAGTTCTGCATCTGATTATACAGCACTCCACTCTTACTGTACGTTACCTCCATGACTACTTCACCTGTCTGACAAACAGATGCTGAAGCAATGCTATGAAGGGTTATTAATGCTTTCAAGAGGTCCAAAAAACAGTTCAATTATATGAATGTCATTCCACTATAGGTAAAATATATATATTCTTATTCAATTTCGATATATTCTTATTTAATTTCGTTTTTTACTATGAAGTAGTATAACTTGTTTGAAGAAGTCACATTTTACATTGTATTATTTATGCAATGAAACTGATTTTGTGTAAGTTAAGTGTTTAAATACATTCTAGGATCATTTTATGTTTTACAAATTGATAGAAAACATATGAGGACTGTAATTATACCAAATAATATGAAGAGTTCAGATGCAAAAGCCTCTAAGTGCCATTTGAAATTTTCTTCTAGAATGATAATTTTTATCAAGCTTGTATATTTAAGTTCAGTGATTTCACTTAAATGGCAATGATAATTACCTATTAATTGTTATTTAAGTGAAATTACTGAACTTAAATATACAAGCTTGATAAAAATCATCATTAAAGAAGAAAATTTCCAATGGCATTTAGAGGCTTTTGCATCTGAACTCTTCATATATTACAAGTTCATACATTTTTTGGATTACAATATAAACCCTAATACGGATAATTTGTCAGTAAAGATAGCCTTTAGTCCACTACTGCAAAATACAGGAGATAAGCATGTGATCAATAGCGTGCGGACTTTCCTGATCTTTCCCGTATATCGGCTTTCTGCAGGATCAGATGGATTAGATGAAACCGCCAACAGGTACTAATCCGAGATTGGCTACTTAGTACTAGCATGTTACCCACATTTACTGTGTAAACCATCACCATTTTAACAAAAGCGAATCTACATTCTGCACAGACATGCAGATTTCAACATTTCCTTTTTCCCTCCCAATGTACTCTTTCGCTTAAATTGCTCCTGGAAACAGCCTACAGTCCTGTTTGTGGAAGTACAAATCCAGTGATTAGAAATAGGTTGATATCTTCTGTTGTGGCCATTGTGATCTCAGACGAAATTGTTCAATCTCTACTACCAATCATGAGGTCAGTCTTCTGCAGAATAATCATACTGTGAATCTCTTTCTGCACTCTGTTTTTCCACCTCCCTGAACCACCCCTACTGTGCTATCACACAAACCTGCACATACAATCAATATGTGGCCTTTTAGTCTTTGATTCTCCATGTGGAAGCTTTCATAGATCAATGTTCAACCTTACTGCTCCAGTGGCTCGATGGAAAATAATTCAAATATTACATTTGCAGGTGTAAGATATATGGAAGACGCACCTGTAAATCACAGAGTTAGATGGATGTGGATAGAGTTCTTCTTTTTTTTCCTTTATGTTTGTTGACTCAAGGGATTGAGCTAGTGTACTTGCCAAAATTAGGTGGAAATGAGGATAATTGGGTACAGTGTGTGTTTGTGATAGCTCTGTCTATCTGTATATCACAGAACCTGATTTCACCAAGTATGTTCCTGGATCAGCATCTTTGTTGATCCTGGAACAACATTCCAATCAACCAATCAGATTTGAGGGACACGTTTACAGTGTATGTCAAGTTTTGTCTTACAATCAGGGTTAGGTGCTCCTACATAAGTGTCTGATTTTAGGGATGATTTAGGATTAGGGACAACATTTTCATACAGAAATGTTGTTCCAGGATCAACAAAATGTTGACCCAGGAACGTGTCTAACTCTGCAAAATCAGGACGTGCCTGTCCATCTATGTATCTATCTGTGTATCCAACCATCCATCCATCCAAAACTTGTTTATTTTTTTAAACGAACATGAATGAAATTCATGATAGTAAACCAGATTTTTATTCAGTAACCATGAACTGACAAATTCAGTGAGTTAATTCAGACAAACACATTTTGCTCTATAATTTGACCTGGTAGCTTCAGAATTGCACACTAGCATATTAGTCACAGTATTCCTCCCAAAAATAACCAGAGCATTATGCTAGTGTGTTAATCTGAGCTCATCCTTCATTAAAAGAACCGCTTATAACATTCATATGGTCATAAAAGTGCGCGCACAGATTACTTGTGCATGTACATGTACTTGTACATTACTGATGTCCTGCAGCTCAGAATTATGTTACTCAGAAATGTGTTATTGAGCAGCTAGACCACATACTGACAGGCATTCGTCAAACACCAAGAGCTCATGCGATTACAAGGATGGAGTGGATGAGCAACTGAATGTGTTTATTGACCAAAGCCTGACTCCATCCTGGTGGAGGTCGAGCAGTGTCTCCCTCAGTAATGAGGAATCGTTGAAACTACATTCACTGAGATCCACTATCACAACTTGAAGTAATTCTTGAAGCTTTCTGGCTGATATTAAGGGGAGAGGGAATTAAATTGGGTTTCGGCTCAACTCCACAACATGCCTTGAGCCTTAAATCACAGGAGGTTGAAGTACATGTGTTCTAAAAATTTTGGAAAACAGTTTGTTGTGTATGTTAATATGTTTATGAATATCATAATACTCGGATACTCTTCACCACGAATTAAAAAATCTTGCAATGGGCTTTATGCACAGCTGCACTACTTCCTGAACTTCAGCCAGCTCCTTGTTTCCTGTCTGCCATTATTGGGCAAAATTGATTAATTCAGGTGTGTCTGATTATTGTTGCCATGACTACTGAGGTCAAGCACACCTGAATTAATCAATGTGTCCAATAGTGGCAGAGAGGAAACAAGGAGCTGGCTGAAATTCAGGAAGTAGTGAAGCTGTGCATAAAGCCAATTCTGACCTTTTTCTCAGAATCGTGAGTTATAAACTCATAATTGTGAGATGAAAGTTGCAGGCTTTCATAAAGCCTTGTTAGGAGAAAAGTAATATAAATAAGTTGTTCACAAAAATATTTAGGTCTTATAAAGTGTGAAAATAAATATCATCACATTTAATAATGACTTCAATCCAGTGAAATCTTTTTCTTTGTAAGGGAAACCACGATGATGACTTTGTTTTATTCGGAGTGTTTGACAAAATCTCCTCAATCAAAGCAAATGCTTTGTCCCAGAGAAAACAGAAACACAAGATCCATAGAAATACTGCAGGCAATTTTCATTCCAGAAATTGATCAGTATTATTTTTGGATGCCTGTATTGACGTCTTTTTCTCTTCTTTTGTAGCTTCCTGTACGCAAGGTCTCAGCTGTCTGGTGTTGTGGATGGTCTGTCTACCTCTAACCCAAACCAAAAGGGATTCTGTTGGCTCAGAGCCTGTGAATGAGCCTGAAGCAAGCCGAGTAAACGTTCACACACAGAGTTGATAAAATGGGGTAAGTTTTTATGACTAATGTAAGAGACTTAACATAACACCAGTCATTCGGCCTAACTAATTTAAAATCAATCAGGCAACCTGATTAGTGTGTCACGAATCGGACTGATCCAATTCTCAGGTTTGGGAGTTTTTTGAATCTCCTGTATTTTGGCTTTGTATGAAGCGCTTGTTTCAGTGAGGGACTGTCTGCGCACACTTTCTTGTGTCTGTAATAATTCTGCTCAAATAGGAAACGGAGCATCTGTCTGTCTGTCACACACAGAGAGGATATAGTGGGCCTGGCGTGAGCTGATCCTGTGCCACAGGCTCATTAAACAAGCTCCTTATGCTAATTGACTGTTTTTTCACACGCCAGCAGTTTTCAAGCACAAGTGAAGAAAACACTGGCAGTGCTATTGAGACAGTGAGTCGACTCGCCCACAAAGATAAACCCTTTCTGCGCTCCACTGTACAATTCACAGAATAACAAAAAGAGGGGATTCGCTCTCCTTATCTCCCAAATAGAGCGCTGAAATTAGCCTGGTAATACCAGAGGGCTTTCAACAGCTCAGTTTTAATTAAATTGGGCCAAACGTTAATTGAACACCTGAACATGCTGGGCTTCCCCCAATTTTTGTCTCTAAAAATCACTAGCTTTTTTCAATCTAATCACATACCATTGTTGTTATATGACTGGCAAGATAAATATTCATCTAGATGGATTTGGCTGCCTGGAATGATTGCGACATGCTCTTTTGTAACTCCTGGCTTGACCCTGATTTCTGTTTAAGATTGTGGGTCGGATATTAATATGGCCCAAAGCAAGGCAATTTGTACTAATTACTGAAAGAGAAGCGCTCTCTTAGCTAATCCAGAGTTCTCATCTGATTAGTGGAACAAGAGCGCTGGGCGAGTGTTGTGGCTCTATTCATTACTGTCCCTTCTGATTTTCCTCCCTCTCGGTTTTATGTTTTAATTCCAGACATGATTCCCCCTACCATTTGACTCATACTAAAGAGCGAGCCATTTTTAGAAAATTAATATGATTATACAAGTCATAGGAACTACGGATCATGAGCATTATAAATGCTGCAGCGATTATTGAACTATTAAATGTAATGGTTTTACCTTAAGTGTAGTTTTGTCTTTGGTAGGATCATTTGATGTGATAAAGATTTATACAACCAGTTCTATGGTATGAGGAATATTGTTAGTGTTGTGCAGGATAAACATGCCATTTTTAAATATGTGAGAATTATTGGGTGAATTATATTTTTGCACCCTTGAAGGGCACTAAGATAGGGAATGGGAGAGCTTGTTGCAAACACAAGCGAGCAACTGAATCCCTTACATACAAGCCATTAGCACAGGTTGCATTCAATCATTGCTTCAAGGAAATAATTTAGCATTTTCAGGATCACCTTCTGAAATCCTTGGTACCACATCCTCATGATTAATTTTGTAACCTGAGGAAATTGTAAATCTCAACTAGTATTCTAAAATCTTTAATTGCTTACCCAATGAATGTCATTTGAATATATATTGCTTATGTATTTGGAAAATTCCTTTCTTTTCTTTCTTTTTTTTTTACAAAGCACACAATGGAGAAATAGAATGCCAGTTTAAAAAAAATATAATTATTATTTGCCACAACATTCAGCTATTAACAATATATAAAACCCCATTCATGCTGTGCGAGAAAGTCTTTTTAATGACATTTTACTAAAGCCAAAATAAATGAAAACCTAAAATATTATCTTGAAAATATTTACTTTATAGTATTGCTATATTATGTATGTATTTTCTACTTATAATACTGTTAGATGTATAAACCTAAAGTATATGTAAGTAGATTAGTATTAAGAAAAACATTTTATATTTCGATTAATTAGTATAGCGTTTTTATTTGGCCAAGCTAAAGGCGGACAGAATTTATAGTGCAAATGAACCACACACTTTTATTATTTTTGACCCTTTTACCATTTTTAACCACCAGGTGTTGGTGAAATACTGATGTTGAGATGCAGAGAGTATGACCTTGTTCTTCTGATGTGATGTCAATGTCTTGTCTGTACATTTTTGCAGGACTGTGATCCTAGTGCTACTTTCTGGAAGATGGCAGCTCCTTCTGTGGCCATGCCGGATGTGAAAGCATCACAATGTGAGTACTCCCCAGCGGGCTCTCCTGCAGGCTGCAGCATGGACTTGTCTATGGACCTGTCCATCCTCAGCCCCCCGCTGTCTGCTTTCACTCATAATGGCATGCCTCCCTTCCCTGCCCCGGACATTGCGCCAGGCCACTGCAACAACAACAATGGCCTGCTCAGCAACCTGGGGCTCTACTGCTCCACCAGCAGTATGCATCCTCTCAAACAGCCTGATGGTCAGTCTGGCTATGGGACATTGCGCATTCCACAAGGCTGCGTAAACACCGGCAGTACCCGACTTTACCGGAGCCTGGAAAACCTGCACTGGGCTGCTGTGTCCGACCCGAATGTGTATCCTTACAGGAGTGTGGACAGTGATTTTATTCTTCATTGCACTTCAAGCAGCCACTGGTACGATGGACCTCCTCAGGGACCACAGGTATATGGCTTAATGCCATCCCTCGATGGAATGGCGATCTACGGCCGCCGAGGAGTGGTCAGAAAGGATATACCGCTCTTCCCACAATGGCTTTTACCTGCGGTTGAGGACTGGGGCATGAATGGAAATGCCCGAAAGGGTCTTCGAGACAAGCTGCGGCTCCAGAGCACACGTGTGACGGAGCCCCACAAGCCCTTGCGTCCTCAACCTGTGCTTGGTAATGCACCTTCTCCGCAGTATCCTTGCAATCAGGATTTAGCAGTTCGGCTTGGGCCGGCATTGTTGCAAACGAATGGACAGCAAGAGTTGAGTGCCCGTCGCATCACAAGTCCTGAGGAGATCAAACAGGAAGCAATGCGACGACTGCAGCTCCGAAGGCAAAGAAGCACCCCTAATCTGGCTCTGAACTCCAGACAGGAGTCTAGTACCATGATTAAAGCTCATACCACAGATCCCATCTGCACTAACTCTGCCCAGTCAACCCCCGAGAGGAAAAGACCCCCGGTGGGCCGCCTGCACATACCTACATTTGAGGAGTTTAAGAGAATGAGGCAAAGGGAGGGCAGTAAGAACCACAGGTCTTCTGAAATGGTGAGTAGCGACAAGCATAGAGAGGAAAGACAACAGACAGAGGAAATGCAGAGTGAGGAAAGGACTGACACTGACGTCAACACCGCTCAAGGTTCGAACCATCCTTGCGGAGAGAGGGGAGGAGAGATCTCTGAGCCCAGTTCCACCACAGATGTCCCGGGAGGACCCATCTGCACAGGCCCAGTAGCTCGCTCTCCATTACACCCTCAAGCTGCTACAAGAAGAGAGGAGGAGACAAAGGGCCCAGCAGGCCCTGGGGCCACAGATGTAAATGTTCTCCCATTCCCGCCCCACCGGGAGTGTGGCGATGGCCCATCCAGATGCTGCCCCGCAATCCTTCTGGACGGCCAAGACCTTTCCAGCTATGGAGCCAAAATCTACAAAATAAAGGATGGCTTCCTGGGATCCGCCCTGGATCTTATTAAAAAAAGGTGAGTGGATGGAATATATGTATTGGTAGTGGTACACTTGTGCATTTACTTAAGTTAGTACTTAAAGTTGCAATGTTACGGAAGTAGCGATAGATCACTTTATCTCTATTGTGAGATGCAGTACATTAAAGAGAATTGAATTATTGAAAAAGAAAAGAAAATGTTGGACATGGACTTGGTTCTATCCATTGGTTGTTGAATGGATGGACTAAGATATGAATGTGAGCTTGAGGTTGTTTGTAAGAGATGGGCGGAGTTTAAGCAAACTTAATTATTGGGGAAGTCAGGCATACTCCACAGGAGATAAGTCTGTCTCAATGGAAGATCAACTTATGATATTTTGAAGGAAACGTATGCCTTTATGAATTGTTCACAATAAGATAATTAAGTCACATTTAGAAAATAGATTGGGTATTAATAAATGTATGTCATTTAAATTCCAATACACTTTTTCTAAATGAATTAGTTGTTTATGAACTGAGAGTTAGAAGATAATGGTAAAGGGAATTGAATTTAAAAAATGAGCGTAAACACTGATATTAAATATATCCCTTCAAATATCAGTCAATATTTATCCAGTATTGACCATTGCCAATTAATTAAAAAATCTCTAATATTTTCCAACATTTCGGTACCATGTAAGTTATCATTTAGAGTTTAAATGGGAAAAATAGTATCCTGAGTAAAAATTGACAACTGCTGATGTGACTGCTGGAACAGTGTATCTCTTGGTTATCACTTTTGCTTGTTAACTGTGAAAATGAATCCAGCAGCGTTTGGATCAGTGTTTGTGTTGGTACTGATTTATTCCAGCATCTGCACAGCTTGTTTACAGAGAGTGTATCATTACTGATGTGATTCTTAATGTCTTAAATTTATGTCAGGCCCACGGTAGCAGATGTGATATTTGCATACAGTGGCATGTTCTGTGATGATTATCAGGTTTACTGTCAGGAATGTGAAAACATGGCTATTAGAAATTCTATTAAATATCCTGCACTAATCAGTATCTTTGTCTTGGTTTCCAGTACAAAATTGCAACCCAATAAAATCTACAGACTAGATTTAAGTATAAACTTCATTGAATTTGGTCAAAGCTTCAGGTAAATTAATGTAATGTTGGATAAATGTCATTACTGGAAAACAAAGATGAAGAACCATATTTTTGTAGGAGCAACAACCTAAGATAAAGGACTGGATGCTAGCAATAAACCCCATTAATTCCCCACTGAATCGCACTGGCAGTAACTGTATTACTGATTCTTCAGTGGTTGTGTTGTGCTATGGCGGCGGTTCACATCTGTCTACCAACGGCACGTTTTCTCACAAAATCTCACAAGTGTAAAATATGCGAACCTGACAGGAATTTGATTAACATAACAGCACATAACTCTGGCCCTGACAGTCTTCTCAAATTTAGCATGGATGCATAAATCCATATAGATTTTCCTTCAGCTGAATTTGCTCCAGTCATAGTACAGAGCTTAATTGCGGGTGCGTCAGAGGCTTTTCGACACTGCAGAGCCTTTCTCTAATGATATGTTCCTCCAGGGCAGGAGTTCAATCCAGGCTGTGAACCATCTAAATATAACATCCAATATCCCAGCTGTACCATAGTGCCTCAAGTGTGGGTATTCATTTACTACAGAGCAGCTTCCAGGTCATTTTTATGATACATTTATATAGTTATTTTCATTTATTGTGTGCTTCACTTAATCTCTATGACTCGAATAGATGAGCAATTCATAGGAAGGTTATTGCCCTGATACAATCATTGTTATTTGTTTTATCATGGTGTCAATGTAATTTTTATAGATTAGTTGATTTGGTGTCGTTGGACCGGATCCACATTGTACCTTTAAATAAATAATAAAAATCAGACTGAATGTGCTTTCATCTAAACCTGACGGTACACTGGAATAAAGTGACTTACAGGTAATAAGTAAGGGGAAAACATTCAATGAATAAATTCACACAGCACTGTTGAAATGAGAGGCAATATCTGTAGTGCTTTAATGATAATTTCATTCGTGTGAAAGACATTGGTTTTATTGTCTCTTTCAGAGCGGGATATTAATTACTTTCAGTCAGTCCATGGCTACAGGTTTGTGGATGAACTCTTCCACATTTTATTGTTAGAATTAAAAAAAATGACATTAGACCACGCCAGCAATTAACATCTGCATTTTGTGATTCTTCCTTTCCCAGTGAGATGAAGGCTTCTTTGTCTTTGTGTGTGTTTTTTTTATTAATGCTTCAGAGTTCCTCGTTGTGCTGTCAGCACTATTCTCAGATGACATTTATGCAAATTTATGACAGTAAAGATTGCAGCATTATCAGATATTGAGGTACTGAAGCATTAAAGGAGATGGAAGTGATGTAGAAGAGGCAATTAAGAGCTTATAACAAATTAATCAAAGCACCTGTTTTTAAACCCAAGAGGCCACCGGCGCTGTATATGAACAGTAACTTAGACAAACAGCTGATTAATATGTTTAAAAGTCAGTTTATTCAACAATGAATGTATGTGCATCCATCAGCAATCATTCACAAATGTATTACTAATCTTAATATTACTTTTTCATGTCTTTGATTTGATACACTGATTTTTTTTATTTTTAATCACCATTTTATTGGTTGAAATACAGTAAAAACAAATCAAATTGTAAAATGTTGTGAGCATTTAAAAGAAGTGTTTTCTATTTGAATTAGGGCTGTCAAAATTAACTTGTTTAACGCGTTAAGCCTATTTACGCAATTAACGTAGCATCCATTTTTCCCGTCATCCTTTAGCTGGCTGAAGACGCATCTTTTTCGGCAACACTTGATCCATTAATACTAACACTTTATCATCTTTTCTATATCTATTATCTTTATAAAAAAATAAAAAGGACACGTACTGCATTCGATTAAACTGGGAAGGGTCATAGGACTTGTTGTCCTATTGTTAGTTTAACTGCTTCTATTGTTCTCATTTGTAAGTCGCTTTGGATAAAAGCGTCTGCTAAATGAATAAAAAGAAATCATGCTCTTATTCATGCAAATGCTTTTAAGCCATTCAAGTGTGGCACTGTCATGACACGGCTGCATTGAGTTCTCGTTCATGCTTAAATGGACAAAAACACACACATTTATGCCAAAATGCCCATGTGTGACATGTTTTAAAGTGACAGCAGCCTAATCAGCCTCTGTGTCATTTATGTTATAGGAATAGTTCATCCAAATATTAAAATTCTGTCATCATTTACTCACCCTCATGTTATTCCAAATTAGTTTTTATTCATCTTCAGAACACAAATGAAGATATGAAGATATTTTTAATCAAATCGGAGCCAGTTTTGTACTCGCATTGACAGCTACGCAACTACCATTTTGACGCTTCAAAAAGTTTATAAAGAGATTGTAAAAACTAATCCACATGATTTGAGTGGTTTAATCAAAATTTTCTGAAGAGACATGATCACATTAGATGATGAACAGCAGATTAAATTGAGGCTTGTATTCATTGAGGCTTATATAAACATTGATCAGCGAACATAAACAGAAGCTCAACCGAACCTGCTTAACGCTTGAGAATGAACCTCGTTGGTTCATGCGGAAGTTCAAGCGTGCTGTGTGTGTAACACACGAGAATGAACTTCATTGGTTTTCGTCAAGTAAACACGTCTGAGCTTCCTTTTATCACAACTGATGTGTTCATTGGTGAATATTTAAATGTGAGTTAAATTTCAATTAAATTAATAAAAAAAACGTAAGAAAAAGAGAGAATCATTCACTATTCTTGACTGAATAACGTTTCTAGCTTTAATAAATATGTATCTATATTTAATTTATAATGTATGCAGTGAAAACTGTGAAGTGTTTGATAACTATTCAATTTCTATATATTTCTTGCCTGTTACATTAAACAATTAAATATACTGTCTTTATATTGTTTCTATATTAATTTAGAGATTGAATGTGAAGTTATTACATTACAAAAATATGTTACCACTTAACTGTCACCGTCCCACAGGTGGGACGTTTGCCACTATATTTTTAAAACAATAATATCTTAGTAAATACCTTAAATAATATTGACAAACTATATATCATTTGAAAGCTTACAATCTCTAGTTTCCATATTTGGTGACTGATTTTCAAAATATATTACAGAGGAGCCATAATTTATCAATATAAAACAAGAATATTTTCATACTCATAAGGCGTGTTCAGACCTTTATTTTATAATAGCAGTAAACATAAAAAATCATGAAAAAATGGTAGATACCTCAGTTTGTTTTCATGCCAAAAGTTCAAAAGATAGAATCCATTCAATTATTTTGGAAAAAAAAGGTCTGAAAAGTTTGAAATATCAAGAAAAAAAATAATAAATTCACTATTTGTTATGTGGCAGCTAGCTATGACTTACATGCGTGTTCTTTGTATGTGTTTCTTAGAGGTTCAATTCATATCAAAATCTGCCAAACTTCCCATGCTACTTCTGAATAGGATCTCTACTTCAGAAATTGTATGAAAATTGTGAAAATAATGGTTCATATCACTCAAAACACGAATGGAAAAGCAGACGCCCTTATATGGGCAGTAATGGAGTCTGATTGTGCCCTAGTGAAAAAGTTTGGTACTGCGCTCAAACAAAATCTTACTGAAAGCTCATTTTTTGAGATATCAACCTAAAATTTGAAACACAACTTGTTCAGATTTTTGGCTTTGATCTTTCTGCCATTTTAGAGTAGCCCAGGTTTTGAAAATATATATTTTATGTAAAATATTAATAATTAATATTTTTACATTGTACATTTCCATAAACTCAAACTTCTATAACTTTTTTTCTGTTTCACATTCTTAATTTATTTCACTTCTACAAAAATCTGCCAAATGTCTTCTTTAAAACAAGACCAATCATATGTCTATATTCCAAAGCATTCTTGAATTACAACCATTTAAGTTCGAAATGTGCATTTTCATGTCTATTCAAAAAAGGGGGGGTGACAGTTAACAGGTTAACTGGAATCTCAGGTGCGATTAACTGCAGAAATATGTGCGATTAATTAGTTTTTAATCAATTGACAGCTCTTATTTTAATGCTAGAATGTAATTCATTTTTGTGAAGGCAAAGATGAATTTTCCACATTCATTAATAACAAGTCTTATTATCCTACAAAATGTATGACAATAAAAAATATCAATTTGACAGAAGGGTAAGAAAACTACCATTCAAAAGATACTCTCTGAAATCAAATCATATTATCTTACACAGACCTTAAGCAGTTTCACTCTGCCATGTGCTGTTATTTATTCATCGTCTGTGGTGTGTGGGATCATCCAGAGATACATAAGCTCCTTACTTATAGGAATCTAAAAGATTGATTGTGTTTGTTCCCATTCAGAACCCTGTAGCGAGGAGTTCAGGTGTTAATGTGAATTGATGCGTCTAATTGCTGTCCGCCCTGAGCCCCTCTGCTCTGTGGGGCACTGGTCCTCCCTAGAGAAATGGGGGTTGACCGCACAGCACGCATACATACTTGTAATTCCGATTTAACACTCCCATTTTCCGTCTTTGTGTTCTCTCTCCCTCGCTTTCCCAGCTGCAGTGCAGAGATTGCAGCCGAGTCTCCCGTCCGATTGTCGCGTGAGCAGAATGACGTCACTGACACCACCGCTCCCCATCCCAGCCATCAATCTGCCCTCGTTGCCATGACAACGTCGGCCTGCGGAGAGGAGGCTTGCACCGAGCCCACGGGACAACAGGGGAAAGCGGCGTCAGAATGCGTAAGGAATGCTCCCGTCTCTCACACACTTGCACATCTCTGAATATCGCCTCTGTCATGCATGCATGTGAGCGTGATCAGCGCGTATGGGAGCCTGAGGTTGCAGGGGAGTCTGCACGGTAGAGGCGACTGCAGACATGCAGCGGAGCACGCAGAGCCGCAGCTAAGAGCGACACGCAGTAAGGATTAGATCCAGGTTTCATGGTGGTAACTGCTTTCCGTTCCTCTCTGTGTCAGGTTGTGCGTCCTGCCACTGCTGCTTGAGATGCCGACCTGCTCTTGATTGCGCCACATTCATTCATGCCATTTGACTGGCTGCATGTTTTTAAGGGTGATATCGAAGAATGCTGGCATTCGTGTGTAATGTTGCTATGATTCATTGGTCTGTCCCTTGTGCACAGATTCTTCTTCTGTCTCTGCAATTCAGTGTTTTTAATTAAGATAACTGCTGCCTTATTCATTATTCTGTACGTCACCTGAAGCCTTGGTGTCTTTTTTCTCGTACATTGATAATACTTGAGAACCTAATGCTGTCAAGTGACCTTCTGAGGGTTTTACGCCAGAGATTGTGTTTTTTTTTTTTTTTATTCGATTCAACTGAAACACATTATGTACCGACTTCATTTTGGAATTGATTTCTAGTGTTTCAGAGGTGTGAACGGTTATCAGTTCTGTCAGTCTGTGTGAACACTTTTAAAGTCAACATGAAACCATTGACAACATATTTTATTTCTGTGTTGTTGAGTGAAATATGTAATTAAACTGGAAAATATAATGATTGACCTGATTTTATCCATGATTGGATCAAGAAAAGTCTCAAGTATTACAGGTAGTTTGAGGGAAGCCAAAAAGGACAGTTGGGTCAGGAAGTGTAGAAATGTGTTTCATAGAGTTTATAGTTGCCCCATTTTTTTATTTTTTTATTTAATGAAATATATTACAAAAGCAAAGTTTTTTTTCTGCATGTATATTATACACAATAAGACTAGGCTGACTGACTGATACATTTCTCTTAAAGGAGGAGTTCACTTTTAATAAAACTTTTGCTGATAATTTACTTACCCTCATGTCATCCAAGATGTCCATGACTTTCTTTCTTCAGTCAAAAAGAAATTAAGGTTTTTAATGAAAACATTCCAGGATTTTCTCCATATAATGGACTTCACTGGGCACCAAACGGTTCAAGGTCCAAATGAGAGTTTCAGTGCAGCTTCAAAGGGCTTTAAACGACACCAGACGATGAATAAGGGTCTTATCTAGCGAAACTATCTATCGGTCATTTCAAAAATAAATAAAGAAGTTTAAGTTTTATAAGCTCAAATGGTCGCCTTGCTCTGTTCTGTGATGAGCGTTCGTGACTCTCCTGTTCGAACTCGTTCGTTGAATGAACCAAATGACTCGAAAAAAGATTTGTTCATTTTGATAAACCAGTTCGAACAGGAGAGTGACCGATGGTTTCGCTAGATAAGACCCTTATTCATCGTCTGGTGTCGTTTAAAGATTTTTTAAGCTGCACTGAAACTCTCATTTGGACCTTGAACCATTTGGTGCCCAGTGAAGTCTATTATATGGAGAAAAATCCTGGAATGTTTTCATCAAAAACCTTAATTTCTTTTCGACTGAAGAAAGAAAGACATGTATATCTTGGATGTGTAAAAAAAAGTGAACAACTCCTTTAATATTTTATTTTCATCAGATGTTTGGAACTGTTGTGAATACACTTTATTTTGGGTAAACTATCCCTTTAATACTGTTTAATTAGTGACTTCTAACAGGCCAGGTTTGAAAGGAAACTGGTTTTCTGAACCATTTCTATTGATAAAATAGATGCATTTTATGTCCTTGGAGTCTGTCAATAAACTTTATGAACAGTAAATGGGCATGAAAACCCACAGCAAAAAACAAAAACAAAAATCCTCTTACCACCACAATATATTAAAAGCTTTGGTAATGTAACACCCTTTGAATGTACTATAATGACTCTGATCGATATCTGAAACAGTTAGTGGTTCCATCAATTCTTATGCGCTTAGAAATCAAATCTGCCATCATTGAAGTTTTACACATTGAACTTTCCCTTTACACACATGCATACATTTCGGACCATTTCTCTGTCATGATTAACAGATGTCTGTCCTATCGGCAGGTTTCTGGGGCGGGCTGCAGACGCTCCAGCTCAGATGCGGCCTATGAGCTGTCTGAGTCAGTGAGGGCCCAGCGTGAGTGCCGCCTGCGGCCCCACTACAGCGACCCCATGCCTGCAGACGCTACCAAGCGTAAGCAGCTGGAGATGAAGATCGCCGCCGCGGCACGTTTGCACATTCATCGCAGAGAGAGGGACAGTGGTAAGACTCTTTCAACTGCACTCAGCTTTGCACAAATGAACTCCTGTTGTCCTAGTTTTGTTTTGACAATCCTTCATTTAACCCAAGGGTATCACTTTAGTTGTTATCATGAGACTCTGCTACTAGGTCTTTGGTGCTTACTGAAGTGCCGTCACATGCGTGACCTGAGGACTGCTTTTATCTTTCTGCAGCATCCATACTCTTTGTCTGTACTTTGTTTTGTTTTCACACTCAAAAGGCAACGATCAAATACATATCTTTCCAGCACCATATTGCTTATTTGCCATTATTTGTTATATTATAAATGTATTGGTATCATCAGAATTTGGATATATAAAGTTTTTGATTTTAGATTTAGATCATCGTGTAGTATTAGCTTAAAAGGAATACCTATAAATTGTTGTAATTATGTGAGCTCTGTCCCAGAGGTCCATCCTCAGTAATAATGAACCGCTAATTTTATTATTTTTAAAAAGTACAATTTGTAATAGCAGACTTTCATAATTTTCTTTTTTAATTATAGATTAAAGAAAGCAGATATTGTATCATATCTGTCATTCATCATTTACTGTAACTTGAAAATAATTTGACACTTAGTGTATAAGATGACAGTTTTCACCAAAATATTAAGCATTAACTGTTTGTCAACTATAATAATAATTTATGAGCACTAAATTCAGCATATTAGAATGATTTCTGAAGGATCATGTGACTGCAGACTGGAGTAATGATGCTGAAATTCAGCTCACAAGAATAAATTACATTTTAAAATATATTAAAATTTTAACAAAATATCTCAATATTACTGTTTTTCCTTTGCAGATATACAGTAAAGGGACTTCTTTCAAAACCATTTAAAAACTGAATCCAAACTTTTGAACAGTAGTGTATACTAAAAGGGGTGTAACCATACCCTCATGTCACGATTCGATTTTTGAAATATTTTATAACGATACTGGCCTCGCAATACAAACATATTGCGATACTCCAAGACATATGATAAAAGATTTACAAAAATGTTACTGTTGATTAAAATGCAAAATTTGATATTACATTGCTGGTGTAAATGAATAGGCTTGGTGCTGGAAACCCAATGCACAGGACAATAGTGACACCAGAATAAAAATATTCATGATTCTGAAGCTGAAAAAACATTTGGCATTATCAGGACCCACACATATTCCCCCATTTCATTATTATACATTATACTCAACATTATATTCGTTTTAGTTTAATGTAGTACTGACAGACTAAAACTCTGAAAACTTTATTTTTAAAATGTAATTTTTATTTTGGGTGAACTATACACAATACACATATTTTAGCATTTTTTTATTGCGATATTTGTGACACAATATATTGTTACATTCCTAGTATCCACTATTTAGACTCTTCAAATTTACTGCTGCCAAATAAGTATTGGCTCATTGTATAACTTTATGGGGTTGTTTAAAGTTTACGACACCTCAAATGCATTGTCTTAAATATTAAAATATTTATATTTATCTGTTCTGTTTCAATGTATATGACTTTAAAAACTGACAATTTAAAGTGTTTTTAATTATTAAATTAGACTGTTTTTGTTGTTGTTGATTATCACAAAGTTCTTAGTGTAAGGGTTGTTATGAAATTCTGAGAGCTGATCTCCTGATGTTTGTTTGTTCCTTGTCATCAGTGCCAGGCACAGCCAGGGGCCGCTCCGAGCCCAGAGGTGAGGAGAGGAGCAGGGGCCTGGGTGTGAGCCGCACAGCACAACACCGCTGGAGCACCATCAGCAGCCTGAGCGCAGACAGCGGTGTCGTAGGGTTGAGTGATGAGCGCGAAGACGAGGAAGAGCCCCGTCGTGCCCGCCACAGTGCCGGAGCTGAGGTAGAACGCGTGGACAGCGGCATCGGCCCTGGATTGGCTCGGGGCTGGAGGAGACCCACGCCGTCCCTCAGGACCTGGGAGGTGCAGCAGCCCTGTCCCGATTGCGGACACAAAGAGGGTGCCCACGGGGAGGGCATGTGCGAACGCTGCTCCAAGCTGCGCACCGAGCGCAAAGAAGCCATCCTGGAGTTTCTCAACACTGAGTCGAGTTATGGAGAGGACCTGCGCATCATCAAGGAAGAGTTTTACTGCCCCATGCAGAGTGCAGGACTGCTCACAGTAGAGCAGCTGGCCGTGGTCTTTAGCAATGTTCAAGAGCTCATTGATGTCAATGACAGGTTTACAGAGCATCTGCAGGACAGCATTGATCAGGCGTTTGATCAGGTATTTATTCAGCAAGGATGCTTTAAATTGATCAAAACAGTCAGTACATTTATATATAACATTTATATAAAGACCTTTGTGTTTCAAATAAATGCTGTTATTTTGAACTTTCTATTCATCAAATAACCCTGAAAAATATTTTCCTCAAAAATATTAAGGAGCATAGCTGTTTTCAACATTGATAACAATAATACATGTTTCTTAAGCAAATCAGTATACAGTATTAGAACGATTTCTGATCATGTGACTCACTTTAAAATATATTCAAAATAAAACAGTTTTTTTTTTTAAATTGTAATAATATTTCACAATATCAGAGTTTTTACTTTATTCTTGATCAAATAAATGTAGCTTTGGAGCAGAAGAGACTTACCAAAAGGAATTCATACCAACCCTACATTTTTTAAACAGTTTGTTTAAATATTGTAGCGAATTTGCATTGTGCTCTCCTAATATCTGCATTGAAAAACCCACATCGGCGGTCATTACTTTGATTTATAATGTTATAATATGATTTATTATTCACAATAATGCATTTTCTGTCCTCATACAGGGCGATGAGGACCTGCAGACTGTGTGCATTGGAGAAATCTTCTTGGAGTTTGTCAACATGCTTCCAGCATTTCAAACCTACTGCCTGCAGCAGTCCACATCTGTCAACATGCTCAACACTCTGGAGAAAGAAAAAGAGCTTCTTAGGTACACATATTACTTTCTCTAATTTCTATTTTAATAAGTACTGTAGATTATCCTCTTTCTTTGCAAAGCCATTCAGGGTTTTCAAATAAAAGGAGTTAAGCATCAGCAGTGCAAGTAGATTGTTAGTTAATAGGTCTTTTCAAATGTATTTCTAACCACGGCTCTTCTATAAAATATTTTAATACGATGTGTCAAATTACAACCATTATTACCACCTGTACCTAATAATGTATTATTTTTTTGATTTTGCAATAATAGCTGAAAATTATACAGTGATGATTTCCAACTAACTTTTGCTGGAAATCAAAGGCATAATGTGATAGTTTACTTTTTTTATTCAACTTATCCTAACACCATGTTAGATAGCTAGCTAGTGAACACTATAAAACATTAGTGTATGCCATATAAATGAATGTGTGTGCACTAACTTGGCCTTCACGTTATGTCACTCACTAAGATAACTTAGTTAAATCATAGTTAAATCAGCACAAAACATTTGCACCCACAAGTCACATGTGATCAATGAATGCAATTGTGACCAACTAGGCAAGTGACAGTTAGCTAGGCACTAGCCTGGAATCCTGGCACACTGGCTACTATGCCATCTGCCCATCCGTTGTTGTGCCTAGCTAATGTGTTTTAAAATCTTTAATGATAACACTGAAGTGAAAATCTGACTTTTTTGCACACTACTTTGCAATTTCACAATGAATTAAAATGAAATTAATTGATTAAAAATACAGTAAAATCAGCAATTTTGTGAAATATTATTACAAATTAAAATAACTATTTTCTATTTTTGTGGATAAAAAAAAAAAATATATATATATATATTCCTGTGGTGACAAAGCTGAATTTTCAGCACCAGTGCTTCAGTCTTCAGTGTCACATGACCCTTCAGAAATCATTCTAATATGCTGATTTGCTAATCAAGAAACATTTCTAACTATTAATAAGGTTGAAAACAGCTATTTTTCAGGATTATTTGATGAATAGAACAGTAGCGTATGCCATTAGAAGGAACTCTCTTAATTGTCACATGTATGTGTCCTCCCTCACGTCCTTCAGGATATTCCTTGACGTGTCCCAGAACGACAACACTGCGCTCAGGCGCATGAACCTGCGCTCCTTCCTCATGGCGCCGCTTCAGCGTGTGACCAAGTACCCGTTGCTCCTGAGTCGCATCAGCAAGGCCACTAACGAGTGTCATCCAGACTATTCCCGCTTAAAAGAAGCCAAGAGCCGCGTGGAGTCCCATCTAGAGCACATCAACATGAAGACTAAACAGGAGGGGACCGCCACGTGGTCTTTGCGTTCCTTCCGGCGTGACAGCCGCAAGAACCGAGAGGTCATCAACATTGAGATGAGAGAGCTGTCGATGAAGACGGTGGGCTGGACACGAGAGAGCACACGCTTCATCATGGAGGGGGCGCTCCAGCTGGCGCAGCCCGCCGATGGCCAGTGGCTTAAGAAGGGAAGCAAATCCCTCAAATTCCAGAACGTTCAGGGTTTACTCATGGTACGCACCCTGCGCAACGCAGAGGTGGTGACCGATGGGAGTCTGGAGACCTCAGAGACGGTGCAGGACGGTGTACTGGTGCTCATCAAGGACAAGAGCAGCGGGAAGTTCACTGTGTTACGGGAGCCCATCTGTCTGGCGAACTCCGTGGTGTCCAACGACCCCGACTGTGAAGACACCTTTGAGGTGCTGGACATCCGGCGCGAGGCCTTCGTTTTCCGTGCCTCCGACAAACCTCGCACTCAGCAGTGGTTTCGACAGATCAAGAGATACGCTTGTGATCTGGGATCCTGGAGAAAACGACGCAATGCTCTCCCTAATATTATGATTAACACGACCCAGAGCCGGTCCTGAGACATCCCTCATTCCCAGCAGAACTCTGAAGTAAACGATAATTTTAAAAAATCAATATTTTGTTGAGAAAACAGTATTTGCGTGGGGGAATCGGATCTGATTAGATGTTTCTTCACCAATGGACTTTTAAATTGCAAGGTTTTACTGTGATTTAAAAGACAGAATATTAATATAGACTGCAAGGGGCACTTTGTATGAGTGGAAAGCAAATAAATGACATTTGGGACGAGGAAAAATCCACCGTCAAGCAAAAAGTAATGCCCTTTGGCATACCAAAATGAGGGCCTTATTAGGTGCCTCAATGCTGCACTTGTAAAACACTGATTGTACAACTAGTTTGCGACTGAGAAGAAACGTTTTCAGTTGTGAAATGGTTTTTGTGATAAGCATGAGGGAACATGTTTTGATTGGATGGACCTTATGCGGACTTTTTAGTATGCACTACAGAGTGGAAACCTGTGTTGTGTGAAAACTGGGGTAAAGCTGTTTTGTTTTCGGACCATTGTAATTCCCTCTTTCTCTCTTCCATTAACAACTATTTCCACTGCCGCCCAGGAGCAGTTCTCATTTTTGTATCACTGTGCTGGTTTACAAAACGGCAATAATATTCATTGTATTATGTAGCGGCAGTAAAGCTGGTATCCTTGTGATCGATGATGTGACGAACCATTTTTGGTATGTTTTCTCCATAAATGAGGGTGCAGTATCAATCCAAACATCAAGTATTGCCACATTAATGGTTGTGCTGAAGCCATCTGTGGCCAGATCCTGAATTAGAAAATCTCAGTTTGATATTTTCCCCCCAAACTTGTAGTTAATCCTTAATCCTTAGTCTTTGAGGGGGATAAAATACGTGCCTTTGTTTATTTTATAATAAATGAGTCTACTATTCGTTCAAGTTTTCCCTCAACGTTTCCCTAAAAATTGGGCCTTGTCAAATTTTTGAGAAAAATATTATTTTTCAGTAGCTGGCAGCTGCTGTAATATTCCAACTTCCCCATTGATATACAAACCGCGCTTTATGACAACCTGCTAAATGTTACCTGTTTTTGTTTGATGCACTTTAATATGGTCCTAAAACTGGAGTGAGGACATTGTTCTGCAGTTTACAAAGCTTTACCGTAAAACTTTGTTTTAAAGATTGTTTGAGCTTTAAAAGAAAATGAACCACAGTTGACTTGAGCAATAGCAATCTCTCTGTGTTTAAAGTCAATTCTAATGGATAGATATGTCGCCATAACTGGATCTTGGCATTTAGGTTTCGACATGAATATTTACTGTTTTTCCAACGGCATTGATACTGTTAGAAATACCATAGCTTCCACATTACACATTTAAAAGAGGCTGCCAGAGATGTTACTTTTAACTGAGACCAATCAAGCTGTTAAATTCTTTTTCCATTCTTAAAAATCCTAATTTAATATTTTTATTTTTTGTTGTGTAAAATATTGTGAATTACAATTAAAAATTACAAGTATCCATCTCTCTCAACTAACTCATTATTCCCAATGACAATCTTTATTACACAGCATTACTGAACAAGCAAATGATTTCCCAGTTGAACCACCACATGAACAGACATTTCAAATGCTAATACTGTCAGATAGAAATCTATCTTTGAGCTTAGAGAAACAATAAGAATACAAAGCGTCCTTGGTGAAAATTACTAGGAACTATTTTAAGTAAAACATGCACCCACAAAAAACTCAACGCAGAGCAGAGCAGCACTGAGAATCCACAAACAAAATAGGGAGGAAAATAATTTCCATAAATATTTACAAAGGAAAACAAATGCACTGTCAGGTTGCACTTTAAAACATTTGCTTGAAAGTTGTATTGTACTATTACAATTATTATTTTCCCAAGGCTCCTCCAGATACGACACTATCTGCAGGTGGAGTTTAGCATGCCACAACATCCAGAACAACATAAGAGCCAGAACATGGAAAGGAACACATGAAATGAAAAGTAAAAATGATAAGCAGGTGGTCAAAAATATACAGCAAGAAATCTCTTTGAACTTATTGATCCAAAAATGAAAATTCTGTTATCATTTACTCATCCTCATGCTGTTCCAAACCTGTAGGACTTCTGTCTGTTCATCACAAAAGATATTTTGATTGCACTGTTTTTGATCATATAGTGAAAGTCAGTGGAGTCCAAAACTTAGAACATTTTGACTTTGTATGGACAAAAAAAAATTCAACATGATCTTCAGTGTTCTGCAAAAGTTAGTCATTCAGGTTTGCAGCGACAGGGGGGTGTGTAAATGATGACAGAACTTTTATTCTTGGATGAATGCTCTCTTTAATGGAGAAATACATTAGTGTAAATATGGCACCAAAGCCAGTGCTTTAAGAAACTGATGATCTACAAACTCAAGATGTCTTTACAATATGGAACTTAACATTTTGGCACAGTTTTATCAATTTTACCTTCATGTACACCTTAGCAAGAAACAATTAAGGTGATTTAGTCAGTTACATTCAAGAAATGTGCTATGAGTGTAGAAAACCGAATCTAATGAATCAGTTTGTCTCGTATGTAGGCTAATATATGTTTAGGTCAACATCAAGAAAGTGTCCTGATGTCATCATTACTGATAAGAAAACAACAAACACAAGCACATAACTTCTGTTTCTACCAGCATTTACCATTGTTTCCCTCTCTCTCTATTAATTCTTAAATATCTCCACCAAAACAATGTTTTCTTGTTTGACTGTACAATGGATAAATGGCCGAGACAAAAGCAATCAATACTAGTAAAAAAAATACCAAAAAAAACATCCAATCAAAAATAACAGGCAAACAAATGCATCTGTACATAAAAACATCTCTGAACAGAAGTGAGAAAGAGAAGATTTCCCCACTAAAACCTGAACTTATCTCTATCCTGGTAGGCAGGTGGCTTAAAAAAATACCAGGGCCTCAAAATCTTCATCCCTCCTCCTCCTCCTCCTCCTCCAGTCGTGGAGAATCCCAGCCACGGCTCTACTCATTCTCCTCCAGTCTCCTGCTCCTTGGCAAGGCCTCGGATGGAAAGGTCGTACACCACCTCCTCTATCTTTTTCACATCGTACTTGAGGCCGTCATAGCGCTTGCGTAGAGGGTCGTTTTTTAAATTGAGCAAGCGAAAGCCAGAGTCAAGTTCATTGATAAAGTTTGAGATCCTAAGCGGACGTCCATAGTCCCCTGCAGTCACGCTGTTCACTGCCAGCCTGGACTAAACGAAAAAAAAAAAAAAAATGCCAAAGGTACAATGTGCTTTTAAATTGTTTCGCATCAAGAAGGTCAACCAAAATCCACTATAATGCTTTGCATTGCATATAAACTGCAAATGGCTTGTTCTGAGACACTGCTTATGCCTATTGAACTTTATATTGAACTTAATGTTATATTAATACAGTATATTAAACTTTATGTTAATATTAAGTTAATGTTTAAATACAGTAACAGGTATAATATTATTGATAAAAGTTATAAGATTGGTAGTCTGAATGAACTTGAAAGGAAAAATAAAAAACCTACCAGCTCACTGGCCAAAATGAGAACTCCTGCTAGATAGTCTTCCACATCCAAATGAAAGCCCTTTTCTCTGTCGATTTCAACTGCATAAGTGTAAAGTAAAATTAATCTACAACAATCTCACACATGTAGCCTATAGAAAATATATAAATAAACATTACATACTGGCAAGTATTTTTGCCACCTCTTCACGTGTAACCAAGGATTCGCTTTCCAGGTATACCACAAAAGCTGCAAGGAAGGCAAGTCGTTGAAGAACAAATCTCCAATGTTCATGATACCTAGGGAAAGGTGAGGACATGTAAATCTTTAATATAATTATCAACACTAGAAAATGGGGGGGGGGGGAATTGCTCAAGAAAGAGCGATCTACACTAACCGATAGTACTGTTCCGCAGGGAACTTAGTTTTCAGCTCTCCGGTGTGATTTCTCACGGTGCAGAACAGCTCTCTGGCCTTCAAACACTTGCTGGGAACTGGTGGAGGGAATGAAAACGCATTATAAAAAAAGGCATCGTGTAAATCAAAAGACTTAGATCAAGAATTTAAACTTGTCTTACTGTCTTTGAAACCAGTTGGTTGATGGACACTTTGAAGAACAGTGAGGATCTCTCGCGCCGTCTGCTCCAGAACTTGGACAACTTTTCTAATGTCCTAAAAAAGGAAGAACATGGAAAGATGAGTCAGCCGACAGCACATGTGGATTAAACACGACACAAACTAAAGAGATCCACTGAGCTTTCTATCAAGGCTTTGATAGCTGTTGCATTTTATCAAGTCTAATTTAATAGTAATTTACATATTATATTTATAATTAAATACTAAAGCAATAATTTATTTAGAGGTGTTGCGACAGTCCATGACATTCCAAACGAACTTCACATTGCTTCTTAAAACCCAATTTATTTTTGGTAAAGTTATTTTGCTTTGCAAAAAAGCGCGTGTATGTGTCAGTGCAGTTGTTTACCTCTCGGATATCTTGATCAACGCTCAGAAAGCCTTGGATATAGCTAAACATCTCCGTTACAGACATCTTCAAATGTGTTTTCTTGTGCGCTTTAGTTGTAGTGTGATTAGCTGATCCAAATATACACTATATAGATCACAGTAGGATGTAAACAGAGACTATTTATCAATGGTCTTCCTCTCGAGCTAAACAGCCTGCAGTTGTAATTCAAATCATAAGCATGCATGCACATTCTCATCTGTCCTTCCTTAGTTCGTCGCATGATAATGATGTAATGATCGTCTTCTCTGGCCTTGCTTGTCTCCTGGACGCCCCCTACTGGCCTTGCTAAAACCCAACGCTTTCCTTTATTTAGATATATTTCTCAAAATAAGTAAGCTTCTGACTTTTAAAGAAAAAAGAAAAAAAAACTTGATTGTGATTGTAGAAAACTTGAAAGTTGCCAAGCCGGGGGAAAACATGTTTTAACTTCAGACAAATATCACAAATAAATGACAGCAGTTAGTCAGAACCGACCTGAAGCAGCAAGTCACAAGAATTCTCAATTATTAAAAAGACAGTTTTGAAAGATCCGATTAATTAATTTTACAAACATAAGCCTAAGGAGTTGCACAATTGATTTTATAATAAGTTATTTATTAAGACTATTGTGCCTTTTTGCCTTCTTTGTTTGTTTGTTTGGTTTTTTGTTTTGTTTTGTTTTTTCACACAGATCAACTGTCTCGTCACGTATTTATAATACATGCAAGTAATGCTATCTCAGTCCACTATGTTGTCAGTGAGAGTGTGGCTGGCTGTATCTCAAAACCTAGTGTGCTTCCTATCTAGACATTATTTCCTTACAGCACAAAAATGCCGATCGCGTTTTAGATGCCCTAAATGGTGCATCTAAGTGTGCTGTCCAGCTAGGCTCCCGACTAGCTTTTGAGACAGGTCGCGGAACGAGACTTCCGGTCATATCAGTGTTGCGTGGCTGTAAACTGTTTTGATTGAGTTCAGCGTTTCAGACTCAGACGCTCGTCTCTGCGGCAGAGCCAAATGAACGCCTTCATTTCGTTTAACGTTACCTCCAGACATGACAGCACTGAAATGATGCAGTATTTAGGTATCCCATCCGCACAAGACATGGATAACATCCACGGGATAATATTAAAGGAGTGAATAACTGTTACTGTGAGCACTATTTTGTACTGAACCGGATTGTTAGCTTAGCTGGCTAGCAGATAGATTTTCAGTCTCTGCTGCTGCTGGGTGGCGTTACCCGAGAACGGACATCAGCTATGGGAATCATATTTACAAAGTTATGGAGGCTTTTTAACCACCAAGGTACGTAAAGCAGTATGTTTTAAAACATATTTGGATTCTATTTAAACATTGACCTGCGATATGGGTTTTATTAGCTAGCAAGTGTTTGCTAAACTGCTAGTTTCGCTTTAAAACAGCGACGCTGGCGCGAATATACGATTTAAATAAATATAAACATGTTGTATATACATTCTTCAAGGTAGAAATATTCTGTGAACGACTGTCATTACATTAAAACAGTCGGCAAGGCGTCAATAACTGGCTAATATGGTTTCAGACTGGCTGTTGACTGAGACTACTGTCAGGGTCAGTCTCTGTGTTTGTGTAGGATGGAGCCCTGATATCTTTATTTTTCACCAATAGGTAATTGTTGTGTAACGTGTCAAGCACTGACACCCTCATGTAATTCTCATGTAAGATTAAATTTGGCAGGATATGTATTTATTCGAATTTTACGTTTGCTGTGGGTACCGTAGAATATTGATATTGTATTCCCCTAATGTTATACGTGTTTGGTTTTATGTGTTTCGTCTGGTGTTGATCAAACATAACTCACCAGTAAGGACATATCAATATAAAGTAAATGTGAAAACCTAATATCAGCACTGAGTATAGATTAACATGCACCAGTAGAATGCAAAAGTGAAACACCCATTGCAGCACTCTTTGCTTTTTTTTTTTTTTTTTAGCTAGATCATTTGTGTCTCTTTCCTCTGTGATATGTGCATGCTGGGCATTTTGCAACACTGGTCAGCCTGTGTCTCTGACAGTGGTTTAATCCTCAAAGCGCTGGAGTTGTGTCAGCATTTCTTGTTACACAACGTCCATGTGATAGCCAGTGGTCTCTCATTTATAATAAATGGTGTGGGATATTCATAAAGCATAATCTTGTTTGAAAGACTCGTACATCTGTGAATGAGGTACTGAGCATGTGCAAAGTGCAACATAACCCAGTGGAACATTTCTTTTCAATTCTTCTCACCTTACTCATTAGCCGAATAGATCATTGTGATATGGGTGAGCCGTGTAACATGAGCATGTAGAGGTTGTTGCCTGCAGTCAGATGCAGTACCATCAGTCTGTATTAATTCTGTTTGTTTTTATGTAGTGTTGTAAAAAAAAAAAATGTTTTTGAAAAAAGATGTACTGACCAAGGCCAAAGGCTGCATTGCATTTAGGTATATATTTCCACTTTTGTAACATTAAAAAGGTCTTTACTGTAACTTTTGATTAATTTAGTGTACCCTTGCAGATTAAAAGTATTAGGCTAATTTATAAATAAAAAATGTAAATCACCCCTAAATCTATGTTAAAGTAGTTTCATCATCTTTTCGTTGTGTTCACTGTTTCTGCACACAAAACTGCTTAAAATTATTTCAAAACATTTCATTGAATAGACAGGACTGATAAGATGATATAATCAGACAGAGCATGTGAATGGGTGGAATCTAAGCTTTATACGTGTTTTTTTTTGTTGTTTTTTTTACCTCTGTTTTTTTTTTTATTCTTCAGTTTCATGTCCCTTCTTGTACAGGTTAGTATTCAACTTTTGAAGGAACGAACTTTGAGAATTTGAGTTTAAGAATGTCTTTGAAATGTTTCTCATGACTTTAGGTTAAATGTTTGAAAGTTGACACTGTAAATGCAACCTCACATTGGCCCTCATTTATCATTCTTGCGTAGAAACGGGCATATATTTTGTCAAAAGAAGATTATGCTTACACTCCTCTTACCGCCTGATTTATGAAGCTCTGCATACCTTTGAATCCAGGTGTACGTAATACCTGCCCTTGATAAATTCTGTTGCTGAAAACGATCGTCATTAGAATAAAACGCCCCAAAATGACCTATTACAATGCATTTTTTACAGCATGTGTTTTGAAACAGTTAGTACAATAGTGGTGATGATGATGTCATGTGGAGTACCATTCATTCACAATAATAATTGCATGACAATTTGTAAAATTCGTATTATTATTATGATTTTTTTTATTATTAATGACGCTTACTGTTATTTAGAAGAAGAATGTTATTATTATTATCATTATTATTTAAAAGAAGAATTTTTATTATTTTGTCAGTCTGAATTATGTTTTGGTCATTGAAAGCCTTTCATTACTGAACCCAGTCCGTGCACACCTGCTGGGCCTAACCCTGAAACAGGGTACCCTGTCAGGTAAAGCGCACAGGCTCGCAACTGAATTAATATATGCCTACAAATGCTTTGGTAAAGTCAAACAAATGAAACATTGAAGTCCATGTTGCACAAAAATAAACACAGACTTGAGCGTGCCGTACGCCAACATCCATATTGATAAATCTCAAAGTCACCGTGGTTTTGGGTGTACGCTGGAAATTTTGTGTACGCAATTTTGATAAATAAGGGCATTGTGATGAGCTGGCTATTTTGTCTTTTTGTTTTAGTTGTCTACTTTGTACTGTTGCCATTATGTATTACATACATTAATAATGTACATGTGTTTATGCCTTATAAAAACAATTCTGTGAGTTATTGCAAATTGGTGCTGTAATTTCTACAAATAATGTGAATGTCACATATTGAAGTTGCCTGGCCTGTTATATAGGTTATGATTAGTTGAAATTGCACAAATGACTTGATATTTGTAAGCAAACTAGAATGGTCTGAAAATGATACACATCAAATTCCACTGTTTTTAGAGTTTTCAAAAGCTTAGTTTAAAGCAGTAATTTACAGATAACATTGTTATTTTTTTTTTGTGAAGTTGTTAAGATTATTTAATGTGCTGTGGTTGTGAACGTTAAAAGTACTGAGAAAAAAACATTTATTGTTGAGAACTTCTCTTGTCTTTGAGTTCAGAAAGAAAGAGACATCCTGAACCATGTGACTTTAGCCACCTCTTTAAATCTAAATGTCAGCAGAACTGTTACATTTGAATGTGACACAACTCATGTATGATCTTTTTTTTTTTTTTTTTTTTTTTTTTACTACAAGACAAGGACTTGGTTTCAGTGTATTTTGTATGTTCTTGTGAATTCAAGGAATGAGAAAAATAAAAATTTTAATTGAAGTGCTAAAGCACATCTTTACAATACATCTTGACCTTTGGGCCCTATTTGGTAAAAGCTTAGCTGACATGATTATGTCTACTCTGTGTCATCAGTTTCAAAGTGTCTTTGTGAAAAGCATCAATTTTCAGAATACTTTTATTTGATTGAGCTTTTACTCTTATTTGTTAATTATTTTCAAATTAAAATGGGCGAATCTGAGAAGATGCAAGACTAACATATCTACAGAAAATAATCTTTTGAAAGCTGTCTCTATCTCAGTTTAATCAAACAGTGCCAGTGTCCTCAACAAAGACTGTGGTCTATCTAGTGTATATACTTGTAAGTTGACTCATTTTGAACACATCTGAATGGGTGTCTGAATGTCCTTGAATACCTGATGCTTTCAAGCTGCAAGTCCATTCATGGTGTTGACTAGGTAAGAGGTAGTCTTTCATCTTTAGTTTTTTTTTTTTTTTTTCTTTATTCTCCCATTCATATTATTGTCCATTAATCAACTTCAAGTTCAGGGCATCTTTTAATTTAAAGTCAACTCCAGAATTATTGGCACCATATATGAGCAAATGCAGCTGTGAAAAATAAATCTGTATTGTTTATCCTTTTCGATCTTTCATTAAAAAAATTCACAAAATTGTAACCATTCATTGAATCAAAATCCTTGGTGAGAAGGATATTTTGAGTGGCCAAAGACTCTCCAAGGATCACAGCTTTAGTCTAGAATAGTAGAGATTATTTGAGTCTTGAGGTCAGAAAGCCTAATTTGAGGGTTTGAAGAAAAATACTCATTGCTCATCCAGAAACCAACTCCAGCATATTCAGTTGTCAGACACGACTGGAACTTCTGTTTGGTGCAAACAGGGATAAACAGTACCCCATACCCATGTTAAACCCATTTTTTTTTTTAAATCAAAATTGTACATGCATCGATTATCTAGAGTTTATTTCTAGCTAAAAAAGTTTTGAATTTCACAAAATAAAGACAAAAAGGTGTCTGATATATATTATATCAAACCTAAACCTCTATTGGACCTTTTTGTGGACAGTGGGGCTGAAAAAAGTTCTGGCTCTTTTGCATGTGGCAGTCAGTTAAATTAGATTGAGATATTTGCATTAGCTATGCATGTGCTTGTCATCTATTGTCATGCATGATAAACTGCAGTATGCAAAGTTCGGTTGCAACTAAGCATTGTCTTCTCTTGTGGAAACTATTTGGCCACCTTTACACACACTTATATTACCACGTCACCTAGTGCCTCTGACGTGTCTGCAGGTGCAAACAGCCATATCTGGAGTTAGTTACAGCTTGGATTATATAGGTTGCAGTGTGAAAGTGGGTTAATAATAGTGCCGCATAGCATAATCATCATAATAATAAAATAGAGATGCATTGCCAAGATGCTGGGCAAGAGTTCATTTTTAAAGTGTGTGGTTTATTAAGAAGCAATAAATTCTGTTGGATTACAATAATACAGATTATACAGCTGTATGCTTAAGTGTACTAGGCAATATATTAGTCTAATTAATGTAGACGATTGAAGCTCTCACTCTAATATGGAGAAACCAGTTCCCTTTTCATGTACACGTACCTATATTCACGGTTCGAAGGTAGAAAATGGTGTAACGGCAGCAATGGTGCTGTTACTTGGACAATCAATGCTATAGAATCCGTATTCCAAAACAGTGTTCAATTTTCTCTGCTGAAGCATGTGCTTTACTTTTAGCTTTGGAACATATTGAAAATACATAACAAAAGGGTTCTATAATTTTTGCAGACTTGAAATCTTGCCTTCAACCAATGGACATTATATACTAAATCAGGTCTTCAGTATTATCTTTTGCTGGGTTCCAGGCCATGTTGGACTTTAGGGAATGAATGAGCTGATGCAACTGCTAAGGAAGCTCTTAATCAGGAAGTTAATGAATGTCAAATTCTTCCCTCAGATATCAGACTGATTATTAATCGATACATATTGAATAAGTTGTACCAGATGTCGTATGGGTCACACAAGTTTGACCCATGGTTTTTTACTTAAAGGTGAAGACCCAACTTTTTATGCATGTTTTGTAAGATTCCCTTTCCTTTTGTAAGATGTCTGTCAAACATATTTTATTGGATTGTCTGGAACTTAATACAAGCAGAATGCTCTTTTGTGAAGTTACTTCACCTTCACTTAATAAGATTATGCCTGAAACAGTTTGGGATTTTTTTTTTTTTAATAAAAAAAATTGGAATAATATGACTTGCTGTTGTTGAATTTGTTTTTATTGTATTTAGATGTTATTTGTATTTTTTGTCATTGATTTTTTTTTGCCATGTAAATAGCTTTGAATGCTGACATGGGCATTAAATAAAATAATCTGAATCTAATTAATGCCAGTAGATCTAATTAATGCCAGTCTATAAAGCACTTTTTATATTTATAGAAATTAGTAAAAAATTAAATGTTTCAGAACTTGTAAATTGCTTTCTTCCTATTTTGTTGTTGTTGTTGTTATTATATTTATCATTATATCCGAATGATCAGTATAGGTCTAGGCGTTTTTGTGTCAAATTCACAATTGTTTAGCTCAGTTGAAATGAGGTTGACGTGGAAAGCGTACTCTGTTATCACATACAACACGGTTTGTAATAATGTAGGTAGTTAAACATGCTTGTAAGGGCAGCACTGGCTCCATTGGTCTCCAGCCAAACAAGTTTGACATGCATATTTTACTATGGGTTTGGCCATTATTCTGTTCTTTTGACCTGTTCCTTGCTATTGTGTAAAAGATGACACATTTCTCACGCTTAAAGTACTTTTCATGGATGTATTGTGTGTTCATATTCTAGCTAATTTAGACAACATTCAAAATCAAAGACGAATGTCTGCAATGCTGGGTAGTGGGTATGATTAAAAGTGTTAACTAAAATATTTAACAGTTTTTCTGTTTTTGCCCTAGAGCACAAAGTCATTATTGTTGGGCTGGACAATGCAGGAAAGACCACCATACTTTATCAGTTGTAAGTATTGCACTTAGTTATAAATCAAACAGTTCTTTCTTCATTTTATAATATAATATAATATAATAACATTATAAGGCTGTAATTTGCTTGCTTTATTCATAACATGGCACACCCCCAACCCTGTATATGTATTTTTCACAATACAAAACTTTTGAACGTACCGTTCAAATATATATATATATATATACACACACACACACACACACACACACACATGTATGTATGTATGTATGTATACACACAAATGGTATATAGGGGCCCTCAAACGCTGCATATGGCAATTTTCTGGGAGCAACGTTTTGTGTGAAAGGGGCTTAAGATATCAGCAACGTATCTGTATTGGCTATTAATAAAAACTAAATTGGTGGACCACTAAACATTATAAAAGTCTTTGTCACTTTTATATATTTACACGTGATGCCTTGAATACATCATGCAAATTACAGCCTCATTTTATAGTGCTTTCATATTTATGGTGTTGTCCTATTTGTTGTTCATTTTGTGCTCATGTCGATGTTGTAATCTCCAGCTCTATGAATGAAGTGGTGCACACTTCACCCACCATAGGCAGCAATGTGGAAGAGATTGTGGTCAATAATACTCATTTCCTGATGTGGGACATTGGAGGACAGGAATCACTGCGCTCCTCTTGGAACACTTACTACACTAACACAGAGGTAGTGACCTAAGACAACTGTAAAGTTATCTTGAAGCGAAAAAGCTGTGTCGCATTAACTTGTTTCTCCTGTGTAGTTTGTGATCGTGGTGGTGGACAGCACAGACAGAGAGAGAATCTCAGTGACCAGAGAGGAGCTCTACAGGATGTTAGCCCATGAGGTGAGTATTTGTATATCAGTATGAGAACTGGTATTGCATGAATGTTTATACACTCACATGCTAAAGGGGTTATACAAGAGGTGGGCAATATACCGGTAGGCATGATTAACTGGTAGAAATGTGTCAACTGGTAGAGATTTTGGACCATCGTCTCTATCGCGGTTAAGCTCATCATGTGACATTGCTGTGCTTGCACGGTCACGAAAGCTTATCATTTGAATGTGTTCAGCAAGTAGAGACAGACAACGTTTCGCTATATTTGCATGCTGTCAGAGATGGTGTCTGAGCTCAATCTGAGAGATGGCGAACATCAAGCCGATGCTCATTATGCCCGTGAGCACTGAACTGATTTCTTTTTGCCACAAAATTGGGCTTTAATGTTAAATACACACATATGTCAAAATGACCGTCTTTGCAAGTAAACACACAGTCATTTATGTCTTGAGTGAACTGAAACGGTTGAGAAAGTAGAAAACAAGTATATTGGATCCAAATATACCTGCTGTCATCTGTATCATTAATGTTAATCGATCAACAGAAAAAGAGAATCTCCCACTGCTCTTGACTGAATCACTTTTTAATAAAAATAAATGTATATTTAATTTACACAGTGAAGACTATGCAGTGTTTTTTTTTTATACATTTGATTACTTTATAGTACAATTCATGTAGTATTTCTTATTTCTAGAGCTTGAAGTTTTTCAAGTATATCTATTTCATTTGTGTCTTTGTTTTGTTGTTTGTGAAAATTGTTATCGTGAAATAAAATGACTCGTATCATGGTATAAGATGTTGGTCATATCGCCCACTCCTAGGTTGTACTGAGACTGTCTGGTTCGCTCTTTTGTGTCATGACTTCTTGATTCCACTTCCTCTTTTCTCTTTATTAGGATCTAAAAAAAGCTGGTTTGTTGATTTTCGCCAACAAACAAGATGTGAAGGGTTGTATGACTGTTGCTGAGATTTCTCAGAGTCTTCAGCTTACCTCCATCAAAGACCATCAGTGGCACATCCAGGCCTGCTGCGCCCTCACTGGAGAAGGGTAAGGTCACAAAAACCTACAACAGAGCCACATGACAAACATGTACATAGAAAGATCCATTTCCATGTTATGTTCAGTCGATTTAATGATCTAATGAGTCACAGATTGTGTAAACTTCTGCTGTTTTTGTCATTTTGAATATAGACCTAGCACTGATAGAAGTGATGAATCAGCATTAGGGTTGCATAGACAGCAATTGCTGTCAGACAAATGCAGACATGTCCTTTGGTTTCCAATCCATGCTTGTATTTTATTATTCAAGAATCTTGCATCTTTAGCCGCCTTTCCACTGCACTCAACAAACAACAGCCTATTAACCGGAAGTCATTCATTTTCTGTGGAGAGTTGCACAGAAGTTACACATCTGCAAATGTGGATTTTTTTTTGCATCGATTTTGAGCTTTAGATATGTAAAATATTTAACTTTAGCAATTACATATTCAACATGTCGATGGGATGCGATGTTTACCAAACAAATCAGTGTGTGCGCAAAGTTAGAATTATGAATACTTGTTTTTCACTTTATCAGAAACACTTTATTATTATTATTATTATTATTATTATTTCAAAAAGGCATGATTATTGATAAATAATTATTAATAAAAAGAAATTGTCGAAAGGTCATTAGTTCAGAGGCCTTTCCTTGACTAACAGGCAGAAAGCATAAATGTCTTTCTTTGTCTTCTTTAGAGAAAGAAAGAAAATAGGAGCATTGTTAGCTGCCCGAGCTGAATGTCTCTTTCCTGTCCGCAGGCTCTGCCAGGGTCTAGAATGGATGATGTCACGGCTGCGAGTAAGATGACCTCAGACTCACACCAGTGTGCTCTCTCTGTCTTTCCCACCGGGTGTCGCTCACTGTGAAGGTGACTCAGCGGCGTCACCAGAACTCGTTTGATTAATTTATTACAGATTATTGAGAACTGTGAATGAACAATCTGTAACTAACTCACTAAAATAAGTCAGGACTTGTGAGACAGCATAAACCCAGTGTTTTTCTCCACGGATGGCCATTGAAAAAGGAATATGGTGAGTAAGAGAACTCGTCTCTGGCTGAGCGGATCCCTGCCTGGAGTGGCCTCGCTGCTTTACCCATCTACCTGACATGGTGTTGCCCAGTGTGTGCAGTCCAGTATTTTCATTAACCTTGTGCCTGTGCCTGCACCTGACTCTCTGTCCCCTCTGGCTTGAGGAGACACATTACCATGCAACGGGAGACTGCACTCATGTAAAATACAACTAAATAAAGTGTTTTTATCTGTCATGACATATGTTTCACATTTTATTTCTCAACAGATTTTCTTATTATCCTTCACTGACTGTCCTTTTTTCAGAAGTATTTGGTTACGTTCCACAGCCCTTTTGCCACCTCTAGAGGGCATTGCATGGTTTGAAAGGACAGTGTCTGTTTTAAAAATGAATTTAATTAGCGTATTTGTTTAACTTGAACAAAAACCTGATATGTTTAAGGAGGATATGAACTTAATCTGGATTGAACTTTGTGTACTAAAATTATAGCTTTTTAATTCACATCACAGAGTAGACCAAACACATAATATTATCACAAAATTTGGACTTCAATTTGTAATTATTTGCACAGTACAGATGTTTACTTTCTAAAGTTTACATTGTTAAAAAAGTGTGTTTGTGTGTGTGGGGGGGGGGGGAGTTGAATTGTCGCTGTTGGCAAACTCCATTTTAAATATAGTGCTTAAAACTGGTGCAGAATGCCTTATTTACTGCATTGTCTTTAGATTAGGCACAGGTAATGGGTATTTGTGTATCCATCTGAAGCAGGACAACACACTTGATAGGTTTGTTTGTACTGAAAAACATGTTGTTGTGGTTTAGCTACTTATATTTAAAGTTTAATTTCATGAGTCATGGTAAACAAGTTTTCTCTGGAACTGTATCCTGGATTTCTGTTTTGAAATGCCATTTCCCTGGATGAGAGATATTGTTTTTATTTAAATTAGGAGTCATTGAAAGTGTTTTAATACCCACCTTCAGCTGCTCAGACCCCCTTATTACTTGCTCATTTTCCAGTGACTAAGCTTTATGACACTCAAAGCGTCATGTCACTGGATTGAAGTATTGTTCTTAAAGCTTAGTCAACAGTTGTCCATGTTTTCCTCTGTTCTCAGATAAAACTAATTATTCCAATCTTTATTAACCCAATCAATATTACATTTGTTTTATTATTAATGGCAACTTGTGCCACCCATACATGCACCCTGTTAGGCAAATTGCATGGAAAATCAATACAATTTTCAAATCTTGAAATATGTGACAATTGAATTGAACCATTAACCTAGAGTTCATCTCCCTTCAAATTTCCCCCCTGTTTGACCCAATTAGTGTATCTTACCGGTATATTCATTTGCAAGCCAGGAATATAAAGAAAATGAATTGATGTCATTTCCACCCTTTGAAGTCCATGACTGTTTATTTTTATATTTTAACTTTAAGGTTTGTTGTGTATTTGTTTATTTATTTGTTTTAATAATTTATTTTAATTTGAGTTATTTTAGTATATCAAGTTAAAGTAAAAGAAAATGAGAATTGTTGCCTTGGCAACTAGCTGAAGAAAATATTTTATTGTTCTGTTTTTATTCTTCTTTATTTATTCTGTTCCATCACTGTTTGGAGTTCTGAAATAGAGGACAGTGGGGAAACCATGAGCTGACACAGTCACAGCTGCCTCTGTCATTCACCTTCATCTCGGTCCTGCTGCCCCACCATGGAGATGTGGGGAACTGTGGGACTTGTGAGTGGACTTGGCTGGTGCACATCATGATAAAATTGTTGTATCTTGTGTCTTGAGGTGTATCAGCAAAGTATTGGTCAAACTGGTTCACTCAATGATTTAGGAAACATACCTCTGTGCTAAACATCCCCTTACTGCCACTCAGGGTGCTTTAAAAATAGTGTCTGCTGTATTTTTGAGTGACCCTGAATAGTTTAATGCTGTAAAGTACTCATCAGGATTAGATTCGGGTGAGACAGCAGCTGTCTGTCTGCTCACAAGTACTTGGGAGATGTTGTAGTGGCACTTTCTAAAAAGCTATTTAATAATGACTCATCCTGAGATCGTCATTATACTGGCTGTATAATGACAGTCCTCATGCATTGAGTATAATGCCTATAGATAGAATAGACTGAGAATCAAATCATTCTTATCTGTTCCTGAGTTACTCTAGATGGGTTTATAATTGAGTGGACAAGTCGTTTATTTTACTCTTGATTTCAGCCTCAGGGTCCCATGTGCACTTGGATGTAAACCAGTGACTTCAAGAAGTTTCTCTAGCCATCTTCACAGACCAACCCACAGAACATCTTGCTGAATGTTGCATCCCTACATTCCCTCATTCAGACAAATCAGGTATTTTCCCAGGTTTTCTTTTCTCTTCCTCATAGTTTCATAGCTAATGATGATTTGCTGAACAGGTGCACTTTTCTGAAGGGTCGCTAGTGTATATTTAGCTTTTGAAACCTGAGAATGCTGCCCACTGATTGGTGGATTGGGGCACATGATAACCGGAGTGCCGTTGCAGCTGTGAGCTTTTGCCCGGCGTTTCTCAGGAGGGAAGAGTTGGGGAGGCTCTTGCAGTTTGGGAAACGTTTTAACTTTAAAGTCACCGGTAAGCAAAGGAAAAACCACAAAATCAAACAGCACACCAGATTTTACTCTCCAGCACTCTTTGCACAGTCTGCTCTGTTGGATTGACCATCTTCTACAGCCTCTTGGTAGATGGAAGTGATGCTGAGGGCGATGCTGGTCCTTTAACCACAGCCTGATAAAAGTCATCTGACTGTATTGGCCACCATTGCAGGAACAACCAATTACGCAAAGCTGGAACTTATTCCTGGACTTTGTTTTTCTTGGAAGACTTTCTGAAGCAACTCACCTCATGGACAGGAGTTTGTTAAAGTCCAATCCACATTATTTCAAAAGCATTATTTCATATAATTTTCTGGGAGTTTCTGGGTCCTAAAAAAGGGTAGTTAGTGGTCATACCTAAAATTAACCTGTAGCCTCAGAAGGCATTGGAGCTCCACTAGCTAAACAAAGCCAGCCAATCAGCCCGCAGCATTGGCTTACATGACAAATAGCTGGAGTGATTCAGAGCAGCTGTCGCAAGGCTTCAACCAGGAGGCGCAGCGTTTTGGGGGGTCTTGGGTGTCAAACCCTCTCAACTAACAAGGCCTGCAGAAAGATTTCCGCACAAAATAAAAATTTTGCTTTTGTTGATCCACCCACGCTAAAGTGTCAGCTCAGTCAGAGGAAAACTGACACATTTTTTGTCTTTGTTTAGGTTTGCAGGAATAGGCTACATAAAGTGGAATAGGAGATTGGGACACGAGTGGATGGAAAGCGAGCACCTTCTTTACTGTAGGGTTGCTGAAATTCTACTGTAACTTTCTATAGTAAAGGTACGTCAACTTTTTAGTTTGGTTCTTTAACTTTTACACTGAAATTGGCAAATCATTCCTAGCCTGTTGTCAATGCCTTTTTGTAGAGTAAACTCTTCAAAACTCCTGTTTATTTCTCAGTGTCAGGGATTAGTTTAAAGCAGTTAGTAAATATTTACAACTATACAGATTAGCCCTTGCTGGTGTCTGATAGTCTTTCATTTGCTTGGGTAGACTCAATAAATCTGTTTGAAGATGGCATCAGAAGAAGAGTATGAAGAAGAGATTGTGGAGGAGGAGGAGGTAAGATACAAATTCAATACATTGCAATGCATATACTTTATTATTTATTTACCCTCATTCATTGAAAGAGTGACAGTAATGCTCCTCTATATTATTTCACGTTGCCCCTTGAATAGCTTATTTAGGCTTTTCACATTAACGCCTCATAGATCTCAGTCCTATAGGTGTACAGGCGAACCCTATGAATAGTGGTCTATTATATGTCCACCGTCAGCAGTTCAGTAGGAGCTGCCATATCGTATATGATTAGCATTGGATCCCATTTCAGATGACCTCTTCCTTCGAGGCTAGTCCACTAAATTCCATTCAATACATATTTCATTCCCAACAATAAATGTATCACTGCTTTATTTTCAATATTTAATACCTTGATGAGATATCAATTGCATACATGGCAAACCATCATTCACTTGATATTATTGACCCTTGCAGGAGTTTGTCATCATCTGATAATAAGATATTATTATGAACATCTTAATGTTCTGTTTTCCTGATCAAACCAATGAAGCCTGAATGGAAATAACCATTGTTAGATATAATACTCTCACTTTTATACTAACAGTGGGATTATGTTCTGTTCAGCAAATTAGCCTGCAAGCTTCATTATGAGCAGAAAATCACGTGTTATTTCAAACTTAATCGATTGGTTGCACAAATGGCACCATTTTGCATTTTGAGGTATTTTGGCTGATTTACTTAAAACAACATTTAATGGGATAGTTTATGACAGATTTTGTTTCTGATTTGAAATATGTTATTTAAATATGATTTCGGCCAGTCATTTCTTTAATAGACCTTATTTTTAAGATTTAACCACAGCTCCTCTTGAAGCTTACAGCAGTTTTCGTTTACCTCAATGTGTCATTGAAATTCTGTCTGTACATGTACATATAAATGTGTCTGTCTGAGTGACAAATGGAAGAGTGAAAGCAGAAGGTTGATACTTTAACTTGGTATTTCCAAGAGAAATAGAGTTAAAGTAGACCTTGTATACTTCCATGTCCATTTATGTTGTAGATATCTTATAGGGGTTTACCAAACAATTGCATTAACCAAACTTTTCATTGAATAGCTTTATTTTTTTTTAAAAGAACGCTTTGAAAGAACAAATGCTTTTGGATTCCCCTTTAACATATATGCAAAAAATGGAAATTCATTATCTTGCATTTTGAGCAGATGGAAATCTCAACACAATATTTTGGATTGTACGTTATACGCTCTGATTTCACTACTGCTTTCATTTACGCTTAGAATAGAACCTGAAAGGTATCCATGTTAATTAAGATGGCTTCTTTTATTGGATCTGGGGACAGCAGATAATCACATTTTGTTCTTTTATATTTTATTGATTTTTCAGATACAGTCTATAAAATTATATTTTTTTTCTTCAGAACTTATTATTTACAGGTGTAGTGTTTTATAAATAAATGTGGCACTAATAGAAGTCTATATTTCCAAAAAGTTGTGGATTATTTGCATATGCTTATCTCCCCATTAATGGATAAAGCAGCCTTCAGCTTTGGCTGAGTTGTTCTTTGAAGAGATACAAATATAGAAGTGGACATCTCTACGGCTGACTCGCAGGGAGGCAAATGAGACGAGCCGTGCTGTAAATTACACTCCTTTTGCTGTTAACGTCAAGCTGTTAAAATGCTTGAGGGGAGGACCAGTGGAAAAAAAAAAAAAACCTGTTATATAGTATATTCATTGAAATCATTGAATCTCCCATATTCTGTCTGTTAAGTGAAAGATGAAGAAAAATAATATAAAATGCACAGGCTAAGAAAATCTTCATAATGTAAGAATTTTCTGCTGCCCACTGGTCCAAATAAAAGAAACCTCTAGTTCCTGTAAATTCATAAATTTGGAGTGTTTTGTTCCTGCTCTGGTTTCATAGGTTTCTTACACGATCTTAGACCTAGTGATGTTGTTGTCAGTGACGGTTTCAGAGAGTTCTGTCATGGTATCTGACTAAATACCAGTAGGGGGTAGTTTATTCTCTGGACAGTTTGGGAATGTATGGAAGTGTTTGTATTGGAATTTGTTCCCTGACCCACTGTTTCTATTTACTACCATGACAATCACGTTAGCTGCAAATAATAATAGTGTTGAGGTCATTAGGGTGCTAAAATGTCCTTAGCACTGGCCAGTCATACGACTCTGTCAGTCAGCGACGGAGCTCCACTGAGAAAAAAAAGCCTCATTACTATATTTGTATTCCCTAAACAATTACCGAAGTTTTCAGTTGACAGCAAATTAAGCAACATTCAGTAAAACAACTTTCTGTGGGGGGAAAATATTATAAAGTGAGATTTTTATGCGAAACTATATCAATTTAGTTTTGTTTAGAAAGACATGAGCAACATTAAGCAGTTATGTTTTTTATTTTAATGTCCTAAAACTTCAGAGCCCCACGAATATTATGTGGGAAAACAAGATACAGAGGCCAAGAATCAATAATTAGTTTCCATGACTTAGTAATCCAAATAATTGATTCGTTTTAATTTAGTTAAAGTGTGTGAATGACAAAACAAATTAGTACTACTTGGTCATAAGTTAAGTCGTGGGAGTTCATTCTTGATTCATGGCCATGTTGTTATTTTTGTTCCCATGTCATGTGCAGAACTTCATACAAAACCAATATCAGGACCATTTTCATTTTTTCTTTTTTATGTAATTGTATTATGGTCATTGGAATAATATGCATTTGCTTTGCAATCTACAGTATATAATTTAAAATATATTTTTGGCATGTTATGCTTAAAATGTTAATGTTTATCATTTATTCTGAATGCCTAAAAAGTTATGCAATAATAAAACACTAAATATGTAAATTGTTTCACCTATTTGTTGAACACACAGTGGTCGAATTATATTTTCAATTCTTCAGAGACCCACCAAATAAAGTAATTTGTCGATAAACCTGATATTAAACGTTTGATAAACAAATTAAGAAAAAGAAAAGTGTGAATATTGGCAAGGAATATCAGTCAAACCAATTATTTTTCTATCTCTTATTTTGTTATATATGGTAAAAAAAAGATGAAACCCTCTTAGCTGAAATTATGCAAGCCGGCTTAATGATTAATGGATGACTTTGCAATGTAATTAATGTAAACATGAATAACAGGACATATACTGTATTTGGTACAATGATAAAGTTCGGTAAGCCTTGAGAGGATCCAACTACATCAAATGTATTTCTGGTCAAAATGTGGATTTTAAGAAAGACTTTAGTTATACAAGATGTGCACTCATATTACTATGAATAAGAAAAAGTGCAATGATGGCAGAATAAGTTCCGCCTTCTAAATAAAATAAGCCAATGCTTATGACTGCACATGCGCCCAGCCTTACAAAAAGCATGAGCATTTAAAAACAAAATTTAGGAGACAGTTGTTTGTTTCAATTATACAAATTTATCATAAGCTTGGTGAACCGCTTTGGAGAATTTGATGTTTCCCCATTCAGAGAAATGGGAGCTACTTCTATGACTGAAATAGCTGCCCGAGAGGTGTTTCAAAGATGGCCGCTGAGTGAAATGAATTGCCTTAAAGGGAATTTAGGGGTTTTATGTCTATGAGAACCAGAGCTGGAAAAAGTCACTTTTCTAGATTGTAGAGTTTTCCTGAAGTGTATGATCGTCATTTTGAAAGCCCAGAGTTTTTCCTATATTTATAGTACTACGAGGAGAGTTCAACAATCACCACCACGTCCACCTCAATGTCTCATGGTGTTGAGGTAAATGATCATCTCTGGTGAAACGGATCTGCGTCCCTCCCACATGCCATGGGGGCTATTCCATTCTTTCGGACTAGTTTAGTTTGTATTAGTTAGAACTATCCAAATGGTACTGACTTAAAGAGTGGATTATTAAACAAACTCCCTTGTTTAACAATTCATGTGTCATTAAAATATAATATTATGTCCAAATTAAATTCTTTGAGTAGCCTAGCATTTACGAAAATAGCCCCCATGTTACCGAGCCATGCAAATGCCAATAGCGTTATACTGAACAGTGAGGGTGTGGTAATAGAGCTTTCTTTATGTGTGTGAATGCGTTTCCTTCAGTTTATTTTTGTATAATGCTTTAAGCACTTTGTTGGACTGTCCCGAAAGTGTATTTTCTGTAGTTTTCTGCTTGTTTTCTTAAATAAACATTAACTGAATTACTACCAATACTAATTTACTGACCTGTCTTTGAAATATGCTCTTTAACATTTTTACTCATTTGCTATAAAAAGCCAAGTATTCATTTGCATGGTAAATTAAACTAACAACTTGTTTGCTGAAGACACAACAAAATTGAATGTTAAAATTAAATTCACCCCATCCATTTTCGGTTTTTGGAATAAATCCATACAGACAAAATTGGATTTGTGATTGCTTATAATGATAACTAGTTATTTTGGTCCCACAAAACTGCCCCCAAAAGAGATGTAAGGTTCTCCAAAACAGTTTGGCCTTCAACGTTGAAATACTGTAAATGTGAAAGATGTTCGAGATGTTTCTCATTTATGGCACCATTTGTCTTGAATGGTGATTGCTCTTTCTTTTTATTTTTAAGTCCACACCAGGTGGTCTTCCCAGACGGACAGTCAGGAAGAAGGCGAAGGTGGACACCTCAAAGTTCATGACTCCTTACCTGGCACACAGCCAGAAGATGCTTGACCAGTACAGCCATGTAGGAAAATATTTTGTGCTATTAATCCACATTTCCTTGACTGATGTTTTTTTCTTATTTCATTGAAATTAACTAGACTGTCGACAGTCCCAAATGAACCTCATAACTGTGAGTTTTTATTATTTGTGGAAGACAACAGAAACAGATTCACATAAAATGAATGTTTCCCAACCATCAGAATAGAACCAGATATGTGATAGAAGTTAGTAGAGGTTACTATGTACAGTACATTGCCATTCAAAAGTTTGGGACAGTAAGATTTGTTTTTGTTTTTTAAGAAAGTCGTCATTTTATTCAGCATGGATGCTTTGCATTGAAGGAAATCTGTTTTAAATAAATGCTGTTTTGTTTTATTCTATTCATCAAAGAATTCTGAATAAAATAAAATCATGGTTTCCTCAAAATTATTAAGAATTTTCAATTTAAATAATAATAAAAACAATGTTTCTTAATCACTATATCAGCAAACTTTTACACATTACTGTATTGTTTTTTATGCTTTTGTAGAATAAATACAGGGAGGAATATGAAAAATCAAAGGGGCAGCCCTATGCCATTTCAGCTGACACACCTGAGATGATTCGCATCAAGAAGGCCCAGGAGCAGCTTAGTGAGGTGTGTACCATTTGTGGATCATATTACTATATTCTGTCAGAATATAGTTTGCAAAATCTTCATGTTCGTGTGAGATATTTTTTTAATTGATGCTTTTTGAAACCCCTTTAGTCTAAAGCTCCTAATAAACAATGCACTTCATGCAATGTACTTCTAGTCGATGTTGTGTATTTCGCTAACAATACATATTTTTGATAATTCAGGTGAAATACCGTATGGAGGGCCTGAAGGCCAAAACCACCAGCCTCTATGATGGTGAGGCTCGTGAGATTGCCCACGTGAAGCACGTCTCTGAGCTCGTCAGCAAAGTAAGTGCCTCTGTCAAGATAGATTTGTGAATTCAGTAGAGTAATACTCATTAATGTTTAATGTTTAATCGAGTTGAATAATAATAACAGAACTGGGTAACACTTTATTTGAAGGGGTGTGCATAAGACTGACATGAACATGAAGGAGTCTTTATGAATGTTTATGACTGCTGTCATTAAGTGTCATTCGGTAAATTATGACACTTTTAATGCAAAGTTGACATTGTTTAAAATGTCTTTGTTATGACAACTTGACAAAAATGTATCGAGTATCGAGTCTTTTCCTTGTGTTGTTTATTGTCGTAAAATAAATTCTCCATATACGCCTTCTCCAGGTTCTGTACAGGCAGAAATGGGATGAGACCAAGGATAGGTACTTGCTCCCTCCTGACGCCCCTGAGCTGGTTCTTGCTGTGAAGAATGCTGCAAATTACAGCAAGGTAGAGCTCTGATTCCTATTTTGTATTAGATAAGCACTAAAGTAAAATTTATACTGATTATAAGTTCACAACGATTTAATGTCCCTATCAGAAATTGTACACAGAGGCGTGGGATGAGGATAAGACCATGTACTATCCATACAGCGACAGCCCAGAGTTGCGCAGGGTGGCCAAGGCCCAAAAAGACCTCAGTGATGTAAGTCGAATTGTGAAATTTAATTTATGGTCATTTAACGATCATATAGAAAAAAATAAAGCTTTTTGTCTCTAAACTAAATATTTTATTTTACCCAAAATATTATTACAAATGCTCTTACTGCATACCTTGTCTCACAAATCTGTTGTGCTCCACCTTCACAGATTGTCTACAAGAAGGGCCACGATGAGCGCAAGGCAAAGTACACGTCTCTGGCTGATCCCCCAGAGATGGAACTGGCAAAGAAAAACTTTGCCAATCGTAGCAATGTAAGACTTCCCTGGTTTTTGTGCCTTCTAAATCAATTCCCATTTTCCTGAAGTGTTAATGACGAGTCCTACCACATAGTTTCCATCTATCAATCTATCAAAGTTATTTAAGTTTTGTTAAGCCCAAAGAAATAGATTTTATTTGTAGTTATTATTGTAGATTTATACAGTGCTCGAATTGAGTCAAGTCTTATGGGGGGTCCCCAATTTTTTTCCTGGGGGGGGGGGGGGGGGTTGTGTTTGGGATATAAATAGCATATATTTATATAATATGCATAAATGTATACTATTTATTAAAACCACTTGAAAATAATTATATTAGGCTATATAATAATTATTTTTTAAATTTTAAATTACTTACTAAAGGTTTGGATTTAGAGGGCAGCAGAATTTTCACAAATTTTCAGCATCATTACTCCAGTCTTCAGTGTCACATGATCCGTCTGATGATCAACAAACATTTATGTAATAAACATTTATTTTATTTTTCAGGATTTTTTAGCAATAGAAAGTTCAAAACAACAGTTTCTATTTGAAATAGAATCTTTTGTTACATTATAAACTTCTTTACTGTCACTTTTGATCAATTTAATGCGACCATACTGAATAAAAGTATTAATTTATTTCCCAACATTTTTTTTAAAAATACATTCTTACTGACCGCAAGCTTTTAAATGGTAGTGTATAATGCTACAAAAAGTTTTATATTTCAGATCTAAAGGATCATGATGAACACTGGAGAAACTATGGTTTTCAGCTTTGATCACAGAAATAAACAATATTTTATTATATTATTATTTTAAACTGTAATAATATTTCATAAAATTACTGTTTTTACTGTATTTTGCATCAAATCAATGCAGGCTTGGTGAGCAGAAGAGACTTTTGAACAGTTGTGTACATCCAACAAAATGATTTATTTACAAATGTTGTTTTTAACCTAAAAACAACTGCATGATTAATGCGGATTATGTGACACTGTGGTAATAATGTTGGTTTCAAAAGACTTGATTAAATAGATGAAACTTGTTTATTAGATATTATATGGTGGGGATTTTTCAACTATTTCAGCACATGCGATTTTTACATAGTTACGTCCAGTAGGTGGCGGAAAAGCACTCAGTAGGTCAGCAACTATTCAACGACCATGACTAGCGAAAAAGGCAGCTTTATTCAGAAACAAACAATGCCATGCCAATCGATGTCAATTATTGCTATTTTAAGAGTGAACTTTGAAAGTGAACTTTGAAACCCAAAACTTTGTGTTTACGTGGCCGATCCTGGCAGCATGAAAAACAAGTTTTATACAAATTCTGAATGGAAATTAGAAAGCACACAACGATCGTTCCCTTTGCTGAAAAACTGTTATCCATCTCCGTCGAGATCTCTAGCACTCCCGTAGAACCAGGACTATTAATAATGGTGGAAAAAAAAGTAACTTAAGCCTAAATGTTTCCAATTTACGCAAGGAATACAGAAGCCCCGATATGGTGTGGGTAGATATAAAGTAGAAAGATATATAAAGAGAGACAATTACCCCTCAAAAAGTCGGTAAAAAAGCTTTCTCTTCCCGCCTCGAGTGGAGGTTTATCTTTTTCATTTTTTAAAAGTTAAAATTAGCTTCAACAGAGCGGCGCCAATCAAACAGTCCTGTCAGTCAACGATATCATTGCGCACAGCACTCTTTAGATGTGGGGCGGGCGTTTACAATTTAAAGCGAACAAAAATATATTGTAAATAATAAATTCGCGAAATTTACTGTATCCATTGCATGCATTTAATCAGATTTGTTATTATTATTTTATACTAAAATAAAAATATCTGAGGGACCCCCCTAATTCTATTTTTTACTTCTTATGGGAGGT